CAGTGTCCACTTTAAACCCACTTTTATTATCCACAAGCCTCTTACCCTCTGAACCAAAAGGGTCACTAGTTTATCTTGTTGCAATATTGAAACAATGAAAGTACTAGCAACCCCTATACCGTCAGAAAGTACAAGCCTCTCCGGATACTGGAAACGGCAGAGATATTTCCCAGCGACCTTTGAAATTCATCATAGTTATTATTTATTCAATAATGGACTGAAAAATAGATAATCTGATCTGTAGATTACACCTCTGCTCATTTTACTTCATATATGTTATAGTATAATATATCATTAAAAGAGTTATGTGTCCTATGTCCAGGTTTCTTCCGGAGAGTCCAAGGTGGCTGCTGTCGCAGGGTCGATATGACGAGGTCGTCGCTATTGCCAAAAGAATAGCGAAATGCAACAAAAAACCTTTGCCAGATATGGATGCTTTTGTGCAACAGTGTGAAGTTAGTTTTCTTTTAATAATGTTCGTAAATGTTGTCAATAATATCAAATGATAACATATTTTATGTGTGTCATCGGAAAGAAAACTTTTGTTTTACACGTTGTAAGGGAAGAATTAAATTCGTAAACAAGGAGTCTCCAAAATAAGGAACCGCCCGCCTAAAAGTACCTTGCTGATGTGAAATTTTTGAATTGAGCAAATAGATAAAACAAAAACGTTGGAGTAGGCCAAAATCAATGTAGTTGCAGCTGTATGAGTGTTAAATTATATAGTAGTTTTTCTCTTAGAATGTATAGTTTGTATACGAAATAGAACAACTGAGGAATATCTGAAGTTTGAATGGTTTCAGGAAGAAATGCATTTAGCACAACGCGGCAAACGGTTTGGATTTTGGGAACTCTTCCGGACCCCTGCCCTTACCAAAGTTACAGCTATGATCATGTTTATTTGGTTAGTTTCAGATATTTTATCTACCGTAATCGATGTGATTGTGTGCGCTTTGGTAATGTTCAACGAAAAACACGTGAAAAAACATGTAATATTCTATTTCAATATTTTGTGGCATTATTACTTACGACTTAATTAACTTCATCCACTTATAAATATTGGACAAAATTTAGTGGGACATGATGCCTCTCAATTTTTAATGGCTTTTAGGTTTACATGCAGTCTTCTAAGCTACAGTTTAGTATTTAATATAAAGAATTTGCCAGGCAACAAATATGTTCACCTTGCCATCAACGCCAGTCTTGCGTACTTCGATGCGATTTTCATACCCATATTAACAAGATGGTAGGTAACAGCGTCTTTAGACAGAATTTCAGCCAGTGTTGATGGAAAATTTGATCCAAACAGTCCTGAATGTAAATTAAAACACCCAAATAGTGAAATGTGTTATTAAAGAAGAAAAACATGCCTTAAAATGATACACGATACTGCACATTAAATGCAATCAGAGAAGAAAAAGAGAAAGTAAAGAATACAATTTTATATTCACTTTAGGTGCATTGCTGTGCTTGTATCACACGTTATATACATGTAAGCATTGTGACGAAAAATGGCACATTTTTACCTCCAATGCACTGAATTTCCAGGATTGGTCGAAGTAGAATAGCGAATGTCTGTCTGCTTGCAGCGGCAGTTTTACTGATTCCGCTCATTGTCCTGGTGGCTATTGGGAGATACACCGAGTTGTGGGTGGTAGTCTCAGTGCTATCTAACATAGCAGCAACCAGTGTACTAATGGGTTGGCAGGCCATGCTTATTCTGACCTCGGAAAGCTACCCGACGCCCATAAGGTAATACAAGCAGTGTATTTGTTCTTTTAACCTGGTTGAAATCAAGGCAACACTTGGGATATAATCATTTTAACTATGTTTGTCATTTTTTCAATCAATAATTTGTTTCCAATTTTACGTATGTCAATGTAGAAATAGACATATAAAACCGATCAAAAAATCATTTTAGCTTAGTTTTCCTGTTCAGAAAAGATCAAATTTATCATGTCTTCACAAGCAAAACAACGAAGTTGAACATGGCACGTTTTTATGACATACTTAAAAGAACAGACTGAGTTGGAACCTAAGTATCCCTGAAGGAACATATCAATTCTCCAGAACACAACCCAATATCAGTTGTCATATATGTACTAGCTTCTCTCCAGGAATCAAGGACTAGGTTTTGCCTCCATGTCGGCTAGAATAGGCGGTATCATTGCTCCTCAAATGGTTTATGTGGTAAGTTGCAAGTCATCAAAATATTGCTCCGTAATTCTTCCATGTTTTTCAACTGTTGGTCCACCGATGGTAAGAGGCTAAAAAATTGAAATAAGTGCTTTATTCGACATAGGCAGTAGTATAAAATGGATTGCAAATACAGAGCATCGAGTGTTACGAACATTCGATCTAAGAACGTCTAAAGTTACAGACCATGATTAAGGTAATTATATATATATATAGTCCATTTTATACAATATTCCTAAAATGCATTTTTTCAGTCTTTCTAATTATTATTTTATTTATATTTTCTGAAAAAAAGACAAACGAACAAAACAGTTATATGCCAACAAAGGGTTTGAAACTTAGAGTTTATGAGACTATTCCGAATTGCTTTGTCTTGATTGACTTCAGACAAAGTTCTGGGAGGGGTCACCTTACGTCATCAGCGGCTTTTTCACTTTGGCAGCAGGCTTGGTTACATGGTTCTTGCCTGAAACAAGACATAAAGCGCTAGAAGATAGTCTGCCACCGAGATCTTGGTGCTTCTGTTTGTCCAAAAGGAAAAAGAAGTCTTTCGACCAGGCTGAGAACACTGACGTTCCTTTACAAGAACATATGCTGCAAAATGACGCAGGGGAACGTTTTACGGAAAAAATATAATTACATTCGACGTTATTTACATGCTATTTGGATAGCATTTTAAAATAATCATACTCTGATAAAAGTTAAGGTTGTGCCTTTTGAAACATCAACAGTTACAAAAGAGTATACATCTACATTTTCACGACCTTTTGGAATGGTCAGCTGCATAAACTTTTTAACGCTGAAACAATGTGCATATTGTTTTATGCAATATGAACAACTGCAGTACTGTTTTATCTATTACTATATATTACTCTATGGCCATTTTCATTAAAATTGGGAGACCCTGATTGTTAAATGGCATACAGATGTTGCATTCAAAAAATATATGTACATATGCAGACAAATATAAAATAAAATAAATAAAATTGAATTGAATGCTTTACTTACTAGTTACACTAATTTAAGGGGTGTAGCAGAGTAAAATGGCCTTCAAGTCATGTTTTTGGGTTTTTTTGTGTATTTACATTAAGTATCTAACATTGGATGTAATAATTTTTTTTTAATTTGCACCGACAAATGTGTGTTTTGATGGCTTTTTCAACCCAGTCAGACTGACGACTAAGCCACGCCTCCATTGGTAAGGACTGTTGCCATGAGGGGGCGGAGCAAAGTTAATGAGTTATAAGGCGATTACGTGGGCGGTAACAGGTCATAAGTCTTACATCAGCTAAGCAGTGTAGAAGTCGAGTACGATATGGGGAAGAGTAAAGTTCGTGTTAAATGTACATTTCCTGGAGAAAGAAAGAAAGAATTTTAAAAGAGAGTATTCGCTGCGGGTGGGGAAAAACGGCCTTCGTTCAGTCGGATGTCGAGAAAGATCTACGAGGAGAGAAAGTATATATAAATACCCCTGTACAACACACGTGGTTCCTCAACACATCAGACCCTTTCATAAAATAAATTGATAAATAACTTTATGTTGGCCTAAAGTGCCTGTGAGTGAACTAGTATTACACGAAATCTACAATAAAATCCCGACGCAACTTATTTATACTTCAACAGATATAAATAGAGTGTTTTGCAATCATCACGTGATTTCAAAACTCACCTTCACTCTGTAATTTTAGCCAACCTCCCTTTCATCTTTGCTTTCATTTCGAGAGATGCCATTTCGAGTGTTCTAAAGTAATCACTGGATTTTTTTGTTGACCTGACAATGACCAAATGCCGTAAAAATAATCCTGCATCGTTACCTGTCAAAATTTGTATAAACACGACAGACGGCCACTTTTTACAGATACAAACGATTTCATGTGATCACTTTGCCGATAACATAGAATGAAGCTCCCGGGTAAAATATCTCGATTACCGAGGAAGGCCCATGAAAACGCTCAAATACAACTTCACACCTCTTAATGGCGGTTAGACGTAATGGCCTTTGTTTGCGCTTCCTTCTACATATCCTTGACCCCTGGTCTGCATCACTAGGCTGGGGCCCTGTCCAGAGCTGTCAATCAAAATAGCCGCACGCTTACAAATCTAACGCGTGATCGAAAAATGTTACAAAAACACGATTTTCTGGCATTTCAAAGCACGAAAAAAAAACATTTAGATGAAAATCAGCAATGGTTCCATCTGATCGCATAACCGACTAATAAGCTCTGTTAACCAGCCTGTGAACGTTTTTTGCTGTTTCAACAGCTTTTCAGATTGACGGGATAAGTGAATCAGTATCTCCCAACCGATAGTTACGAAAATTGCAATAATTGTTGTTGAGAATTTGGACTACAGATGAATATCAGAGATTTCGGAGAAAATTGTTTGTCTGAAAAGTATCGTCTTTGGAAGTGAATAGCCCATTGAAATATGAGAAATTTAACGTAAAAGACAATCAAATCAGAAGGAAATAGTTTAAAACAATTCCCTGTTATCCTTCTGTAGTACCTTCACCGAGCTTTATGATGCCGTTTGAATCACTTGGATAGCTGTCTTGGTTATAGAGAAAATCCCAAATCCGAAAAAGTTATTTTCCCCAAAAATGGCGCTACAGCGTCATCCGTTGGACACTGCACTTTTAAGATTAAAATCTCTGTATTTAATTGGCCTTTTGGGAAGTATGTTTTAATTTTTTTAATAAAAACTTAGGGTATTGTGTCTATGCCTTTATCTGTTTTACTACTACATCCCTAAAAGGGAAAGTCTAATACAACTAATCCATTCAAGTTATACATATTTATTGCACTTCCAAACGTGGTTCACTATATAAATATATATATAAACTAAGTACCTAGAGATTCAAAGCAAATATACGCAAGGCATTTCTTAGTGTATAAAATGCAAAAAAAAAACAATAATAGTATCTTTTAAAAATCTCCGTCAACGTAGATGAACCATACAAAAAAAAATGAAAATGCAAAAAAAAAAACAATAATAGTATCTTTTAAAAATCTCCGTCAACGTAGATGAACCATACAATTTGCACTTAAATAAGCATATTTACACTTAAAATTGTGATTGACTTACTATCAGAATAGCTTCAGATAGACAAAAATAAAAAGGTAGCAATGTAAAGAGTATATACTGAATAATAAACTTACAAAAGGTTTCTAAGTGTTCATTCACTCATAAATTGTGTGACCATGCTGATGCCCCATGGTTTTACCTCCAAAAAATAAAAAAGGGAACTTTTTATAGTGCTGTACATTAAGCTGAGCATAGGTGTGGATGTATATAGGAGTTATATTCTCTTGGTAAATTCAAATTGTTTCAGCTTGAAGCTACTGCTTCAACAAACAGTATGACAAAGAAAGTCTGCACTGATGTGGTCATCAGTCTACACCAGTGAAATAGATGTCAAACTGAACAAAACTTATGAACTTAAAAATAAGTAGTTAGAGACACTGCAGATTCTCAAATAAGTATTAAATCACACCACAAGCTTTAAAAAGCACATCCCATTGGCTTATGTCAGGTACCAAATTTCCCTAACTGAAAGAATCTAGGTTTGTTATATTGAGCCCATTTTTCCCCCCATGTTGTCATTAACTGTACTTGGTAAGACATATTTGGTAACAGATACATAGTCTTCAACATCTGTAAATGTACATTTACAAGAAGAGATCTGCAGAAAAAATAAGGAATGGTTCAAACAAATTCAACAAAAAGATAATGTCCATTAATTCATAAAAACTCCATTATTACAATGGCAAGTACACATCTCATTATGAATACAATTCAAAAAGTTTCCAGTCTACAAGTAAGACTTTGGACCACTAACAGATATATATATATATATTGTAGTTAAATGGTATTGCAACTAATATATAACAAGAACAGATTTATAAAAACATGCTTGATACAAAGGCAGATAAAGATACATACAATTCTTTGTATCAAAAATACTTCACTATGCCATATTCATATATTACTTACATGATAACTCGATTGTCTACTAGCATATTTATTACTAAAATACATGGACTGACTTAGGTAAATGTTGCACCTTTTTCTATAACATTTAAACATACTTTGAAAGCATTATGTATAGCATGTGAAAACGGGAGCAAAGTGTCTGTTACAGTAGCTATTAACATTAGGAGTACACTAGGAGTACTGATAAGCCAAGACCTACACACTTACAGCAAAAGCAAAAATGAAAAATGTCTGCACAATTATCTATTTCATAACTGTCTTACCGGTATAAATTACTGCCTAGTATTTTTTATTTGTACATCAGTAAAATTCATCATAAAACTTACACTTGCAAAGAGGAGATGTATAAATGTGGCAGTGCATGTTTAATATTTATCCAACAACTACGGTATTTCAAAATAAATAACCTCTTTGAGGGCACCTGTCTCTAAATAATTAATCAGCTTATGAGGATACAAAAACAAATATCTTGGAAATATTCAATTATACTCATTTTAAACAAGTATTAAATCAAAATCAAATATAGTTCAAATTTTATTTTCACCCACTTTATTTCACCACCAAAAAAACAAATGAGAGTTCCTTGCCAATAAAAGTGGAAAATATTAGTTTCAATGGCTTGAAACCATGTTCCTAGAGTATTACTTTGATAGCTACCTATATCATAATAAGGACAGAAGCAAAATGAATTACTTAGTGACTTAAACTTTTGTTTACTTGACCTTGACCTTGTATGCATTTCTCCAAATATTGGCTAGGCAGACAGCTGCATGGAAGCGGAAGAATATGTTCAATGGTGTAGAAATGTGCGAAATAATTACCCAAAGCAGGTTGCCGTAGAAATCAGTCTGAACTGGATTGACTTCTGCCCTCCTTGTTTGAAAGATGTTAACCCCCCACATGGCAATATTACATACTAATAAGAAGGTAACAAGTTCTCTGCCAGGCTTGCTCTCCTCATGGCTTGGTTTGTACGATCGCCGCCTCAGTCCATTCAGGACAAATATTGTCAACAAAGAGGACTCAAGAAGCTGAAGAGTTCCTGTCACCACTATAAGGGTGCCACCATACGTAGTTGTGTTGTAATACCCTGCGACAATACTGAAAATTGAGAAAATATATACACCGGTGAGGGAGATAAGCAGGAGAGTCTCATCCAACCCTATGTCTTTTTTGATATTAAAATACAGATCCTGCACCCTGAAAAATGCAGCTAAGACTGTGACTGCTGTGATCAGGTGCAAGGTAATCTCAGCGGCATGGACGACAATAACGGCAATACTTTGGTACGATGGCTTCTCAACCAGCACAAAGAATGCAATCATCGAGATGATGGTCACTACCAGGAGGAGAATGCCCACAAAGAGGCCTTTGGTAGAACCTTGACAGTCCACTATTTGGCGCTGATTGTCACAGACTGGACGCTGGGTCTGAACTTTGTTCTTTGGTGACCAGTTGTTTTGGATTGTAGAATAAAATGTGGAAAGGGGACTTGTTCTCTTGCCAATGTTCCTCCAGATTGTGTAAAGAATGGCTGAAATAGAGAAAATGGAATTGATCATTCTGTATTCTATAACGTAAAACATTAATTAATAAAATACTTTAAATAATCTTTGCTCCATTATACTTAACATTTTACTAAAGGACAAAGACTCAAGACAAACAGCTTGAGGTAACAGTGATTGAAATGGATAACATGTAAGAGTGACAAACAAAGCACTGGTGCTCAAATTATGAAAACCAAAATCAACAAGATCAAAATTCAATGAAAGTAAAGTATAATCTGCAAAAAGACAGCACTGTACACTCAACTATGATTTATGCTTTGTTATATACTGTACAAAACAATATGTTTGATATCAAAAGTTTATTTATTATTCTTATTATTATTACACTTTTTTGTACTTCTGTGTTCTATCCACATTACAAAATCTACGTTTCTATCCCTTAAATGTCATCAACATTTTAAAAGTCTCTCCTGATATGAGCTGGCCATATTACCTGAACCAATGAGGCTATACTGTACAGCACATGGGTATAGATATGGGGCTGCCTGGTCCACCACATTCCCCATAATGTCCCGTCTCTGGCAGTCTAACAGGGTCAAGATTGGAGGGTTCCTGGTGGTCATGTTGGTACTGATGTTGTAATTTGGAACCTCTGCTGAAAGATATATTCAGACCAAACATGTATTAGACTAATACCATGCTATAAAGTCTGATCAATGAAGAATACAGCCACTTGTGATACATATTAGTATTGGTGTTGTGGCTTATAGAAACTGGTGGAAAAAATACTCAAGGTATTGAAATAAAAGCTGCTTAGTTTATGTTAAAAGGATAACAAGTCATTTTTAACCTGTGAGAATAATTCATATATCTGCTACTTGCCTTACTCTGTCACCATTATAATCTTAACTTCAAGCTTTATGAGGAAAATGTGCATGATATATTATTAAATTAAAACAGGATAATCAGTACTTAGCATATCCAACAATTTTACCAGATTGCTTGCATAGAGCAAAATGTTCAAAGAAAGACACTCAGCACTACAAAAATAATTTTTACTTTAGTTCTATCTTTATTACCTGCTCCTTGTTTTAACACCCCTGTGGCATCTCGTAGATGTGCTGGAGTGAAGTGTTGAAGAGAGAGATACTCCGTTAGACTCGTGTTCACCGCTTTGTGCTGCAGCTCGCGTAACGTTTCCTTCATGAGATTGCGCAACCACACACAGATATTGGTGGCAAACATGTGCATCAGACCAAACCGTGCCAGAACTTTGTATTTGTGAATACACATCTGAAATGGACACATCTCTTTATTGGCACAAATTATATATAAACACTACATATATTAGAAAAATTATATTAAAAACTTGTAACTAGTTATCGAATTTAACCAAAATCCAAATTAATACAGTTATATGAAAATTTAACTTCTTTAATAATTTTTTTATTTTTACATTAATGGACTTTGGCCACATGAAACTCAAAAATTACTATGTGTTATTATGATTCCTGATTCAAATGTGCCACCAATAAAAGATTACAGTTTTGGGGGTTTTTATGACATTTCATAAATAGGCTTGTTGTTTCAAAAATGCACCTACGGTAAATCAAATACTTTGATAAAATACATAATACAAAATTTCAAAATCTACCTTAGAGTTGAGGAAGATAAAATAGAGCTGTACAAAGGTGAAGACCAGATGCACCATAGGTCTGACGGCAAGAAGGATGTTACTGCAAGGAGAGGAAAGGTCCATTTCAAAGAACTCCCCAAATCTTAATCCATCCAGGAGCATGTTCCCTATTCCAAATCCTGGAACACAATTTATTACAAGATTATAGAGACATATTTGATAAAATTGCAAGGTTATTACATTTTATTAAAAGGTTATAGAGGCATATTTGTTTTAAAAGCTCACTCAAAAGAAAGAAAACCAATTTAATACCCAATAAATTAGCAATCTTATATGGTACTATTACTATTATAATTTCGACAATAAAGTATTACACCCCATTTCCATAGATTAGATCGACCTACTTTAGATCGACCTAACTCCCTGGGGGTTCACGCTAAATAGCTGTCAGCCGGGCGGACACGAAAGTTAATTACCTCTTACAGCTTGTAGTAGGCGGGGACGGACACTTAAGGGGGATTATCTGACAGTAATCTAGTGAGACTCCCCGCGGTGATAGATCGATCTAAAGTTGTGGGAATAGACCCTAAGTTTACAGTCTCCATCTTATATGATGCTATTTAATTCCCTATTATCTACTGGTTCATATTTAACTGAACAATTATTTGCATTACTTTCAAAATTTTATACACAAGTTCTTGTCCCTGTTTCATCAACTTAAAATAGTTGAGTATATCACACAATTTCTCCTTACCCACAGCGCCTAGTCTCAAATAAAAGCTCCCAGTGTGATGGCTCCCACTGCTGTCAATGGACACTTTGCGAGATTTTTCCAAGATGGCGGTGTGAGCATTATTTGCCTGTTGTGCCCTCTTGCGAGTATATTCCGAAGTGGCATTTTGCAGAAGAAATGCGTATACATAAATCAGGAAGATGATGCTGACGCCATACAGGTATATATAAAATGCCTAGAAAGTGAAAATAAATGATGCGATTAAAAAAAAACACATTTCAAAAACTTATCCTTGACATTTTAAAGCTTTTTTAAAATTAACTCTGAATAAATTTCCATACCATTGTTATTGTTGTACAAAGGCACATTCAATACCCTGCCATTAAAGTAAAATACGTAATGAGTTATGTAATCATGTTCAAATTTATTTTAATAAAAACATGTATACTTGTATAATTATTTAATAAGCATGTAGTGATGAACCCCTCACATTTCTGCTTTAAAAAATGAAAAGCAGACTTTATTACAGGTTTATCAATTTTTCCCTTTCACTTAGACTACTTAAAAAAGAACACATTACATTAAATAACAAGATAACACATCAGGGCTAGGATAGATATAAACTGAATATCACATCCAACCATTCTGCTTATCAATATGACAGGCAAGAACAACATGATTGTGTTCATATCTCCATATCACACCTAACACAACAGGTTCATGCAGCTCCCTTTAGGACTAACTTTCTATAGGACTTCATGTCAGCAAACACCTGTGCGACTCTCAGCAGAATTAATTGCCGTATCTGTGAAAACATTCACATTGTTATAATTACAATCCATAGATGATTCAACTTTGATAGACATGATAACACCACTGGTAATACTCTATCAATGTCCCATTCAATGACTCTTACACAACTCAAATTGATTATTCATAGCGAGAAACAAAGCAAGTCATCTGGGGCCAACAATCCAGGAATTAGGAAAAGCAGATTGAATTGTTTTGAATGGCACTTAATTAACATCCATCACTAGTGTACAATATCCTCTTAGAGGGAGTCAAAAGTTGAAACTAGCATTTTCCTATTGATTATCTCTTCTTTAATTGAAGATCATATCAGAGCAGGTAACTGAACACATCACAAGATATTTTAATATAGAGACGCAAAGAAAATAATAATAATAATAAATGGATAAATAAATAAAAATTAATTAAATAAATTAACATATATTTTATATTTCTAATTGTATTCAGTAATTCCTTATTTAAAACAAAATATAAAAAACATTTTGTGTAACAGTAATTTTTACTTTAAAAATGTAAACTTTCTAAGCACATTAAGCTTGCTTCTTTGTTAAATCAGTGGTATAATTAAAAATAATAACTAAATACCAAGACAAAAAATATATAGCCATAATAAATAAAGTTCAAACATTCCTGCAATTCAATGGACATGTACAACATGAATCTAGAACACCTATAAGAGTTGCTGCAACTGTATTCAAAGGTCAACTGTTTCCCATACCAAGATTTTCATGAAAGCATGCATGAAATGTTTGTCAAATACTTTTCCTCAAGAAGCCCTTAACTGTTTTATCAACCAATCACTAGGTAGATAATCAAACCAGAATCTGAACTTAACATTGCTGAATCAGATGGATGTTTTTTAAGTCTTTTTATTATGTTGAATAATAACATCAAAAACAAAGATGCCACCTCAATACTTGAAGAAGGCTATGAGGGAATATTCTTCTTCTGTTTCACAGCTGCTCCAAGATTAGTCATCAATATTCTATATCATACACACTATAATTTCCCACAAAACTCTGTATATATTGACAGAACATAACCACAGAACACAACATAACAGGCCAGAAAACACAACCTGCTGCGGTGTGCTTCACTTTGCCTGGAGTCATTCAAACAAGCCAGGAGTCCCCATGTTTACCTCCTCCCTCCAGCGAAAATCATACCTGAAACTGTGTTTACTAGCTGGCACACTGCCAACTCTTTGTGTGCCAGCACAGCCCTATTGTCTGATAGGTTTGGTATTTTAAAAGACTCACCTGCAGTTGTGAATAATGCCATCTTCTGTGATTTGACTTGCTTAAAAATCCATGTGGAGGTGATTCCAACTGACTTGCTACTATTTGTTCACTGATATTCAAAATTGAAGATTTTAATCATATTTTTCTGTGATCTGCCTAACAATATACACAGCAGATGGCAGTGACTTATTTTTTTCTCTATTTCAGTATGTGACTGAAGATTGCCTGCTGAGAGAGCATTTCTCACACTAATCTTTGCCTGGTTATATTTCAAAGGTAAAATAAGGTGTGGGATAATCAACATAAACACATTGATTTGTACCACTATCTTCTTTCAATGAGAAAACAAGCACCAAAATTTTGTGAGAAAATTGCTTGCAGTAACAACGTATCAAACAATAGATATTACACTGCTTTTAAAAAATTCAATTAGACACACCTAATAAAATCCTTCAATTCATTTCAACTGATAATCTAAATACTGTACCCAAAACATTCTGTGAACAATAATTTACAAAATACTTGCTAGTTTTTATTAAATAATTTTTCTTAATTATTAATACCAAAAGTTGAAATAACAACTAAGATCAATGCACTGCAATTAATCTATTATTCTTATCATCAATCCATTACCCCATCCAGTGAAAATACACAAATGACTTGGAAGTATCCCTTTGCATGTGAAAATTCAGAAGACCGTAATTGAATTTCCAGAAGCAGCACAATGCAAGAGATAACAGGATACCTGTCTTGTTAGCAGTCTGATCTATACCACATCCAAGTGTACTGGTCCGCCATAACAAAGCATTAAAATGTTCCCATTAACTGATGCTCCCCGGAGGCAAGGTATCATGAAGCCCAGATCAATGGCGGAAGAACCATCCACGTTAATTATAGGTATACACATTAGGAGAAATCAAATCTCAATTCAATTACAGAGAATCCCTGCCCAATGAAGCTGAATATTTTACAGGGAGATGGTGGCAATTTGGAAAAAAGTAGAGAAGATTCTGAGATGATGGTGACCATTCAGTATAGACAATGAATGTTCTACATTTATTGTAGTAAACCCTTGCAATCGTTTGATTGCACAACTGTTAATTTACAATCCAAAGTTTTCATGAAATTGTGGAAATGCACACACACTCCCTATGAAATTTTATTCTCCACACAACATGCAAAATCTTAGCTAGGGCTGATTTCTTTCATTCGGATCAGGCATGTTAGATTTAAAAAATAGTTTACTGCAAGTGTACTTAATAAACAATTCTACACTTGCCTTGCAAAATAAACTGCATGCTCACAATGCCCCTAGGAAATGAGTCAAAGCTATGAGCATGTGCTTGTTTTTTTTTTGTTTTTTTTTTCCCCCTAAAAATTGTGCCCCTTCCTCCCACAAACATGTATAACGCACACTGAAGTAACTGGTAGAATGTATGATCAATATTGCAGCTAGAAATTTCATGTCAAAATAAGATATCCAGAAATTACTAAATATCTTTATCAGACCTTGATCCCGAGAGTCTAATACTCATATTCTTAGAAATAAAAAGCAAAAGAAAAGAAAACAACTGTACTTGACACTTCTGTGAATATAATATGTCAACTTTTCATATAAATTCCTAAATACAATAGACATAATCAAGTAACAAAGAGGACAATGTGGCTGGAGTAATATGAAATATTTCAGGATGCAATGCACAAGAGCCACAGGAAGGACAGAGAGTTCTACAGATGTCATGCACCTCTCAAAGGAAATAATAACTTTATAAGCCCTGTCACAGAAAGTATCAGCCAGTGCTTGTCTTAATCTTTTCTCAGCACTCAGTTCTGGAGTTTGCAATGTAAGCCACTCATGTCCTACACCCACAGCCATTAAAATTTTGTTCGAACCAGTCCATTTCCTGGAGTTAGTCCAAGAGCTATTTTTCAATTAGTTCTCCCTGCGCTGTCTAGACCAACTTCATTCAAAATATATTTATTAACAAATCAAGGGCCCTGTAATCTAGGTCCTAGTACTAAATAAAGAATATTTTTTTCAAGGTTTTAGTCTGCATTACTTTATTGTTTTGTCTCTTTATCTTGCAATAATCCATATCATTTTTCATCAATAATCCTACAACATTCTCAACACAACAGATACCTTCGGGTTATCTGCAACATCACATATCCTGTCTGCTCCAAGGGGCTATGATCTAATTTCACATAAGATAATTGTAAATGACTGGGTGCTTCCATTTCACAAAAGATTTTGTAAAGGAAACCAAGAAAATTGGCATATGTCTGAAACATGTGCAGCGTGGCATGAAAAAAACACATTTAAATAATCCCATTACCACCTGCAGGTGACATCGAAAAATGACACAATTCAGAATTTGATAATTTTCTCATCAAACAAAGTAGAATGAAAAGCAATCAGGGAATTGTTTGATGGAATATTACCACTGACAAAGAACTTCTTTTTGTGCCATTTTAAAAAGACCACAAAACACATGTTAGCTTTAATACCAGAAGATAATTGATTTGCTTCTTTCCTGCATTTCCTTTAAAGACTTCACATCAATATCAAATTCTTGACTGTACTTTTTGGTATGCTAATAGAAGGAAGAGAGAGCACTCTGCCATATTTAACTACCAGATTTTTTACTGATGGAGTTTTCAAGATGACTTGGATCAGATTTTTAGAGATTCAGAATAACTGATACAATTATATAAAGAAAACAAAATTACAGCACATGTACAAACAGTGGTGTTTTTCCTATTTTATCATTGTAAGAAAAGCAAAATTATGTAATGACTAAAGATAGAACACAGTCTGGAAAATAATCTTGCCGCCTTCTTTTGATATCTAACCACATGACACAAGAATGTCCTTTGTGGTGTATATGTAGTGCCATGAACTGCATATGAGAAGATCTGGGCCCCGTATCTCGAAAGCATCGCTAACCACGAATAGTGATATCACATAGAGGCTTCAATGTATATATGGGGCGAAAATGGGCGAGTTATGGAATTGAGACGCTTGCACACGGTTGCAATGCGCGATGCTTTCGAGATACGGGGCCCTGGTCATCTACAGATAGTTTCACAAAGTTTAAAGGGATAATAACTCTTCGTATGAGATCTATATTTCACAATAAAAACATTGTGAATAACTAATAGAAATATAATATTTTCTGTTTTACCACAAAAACGGCAGTTTTGTGATATATGAGCTTGTCTTTAGACCACTTGACCTCCATTGATGGCTATACTCTGTTAAAATCTCTTAAGAGATTTTAACAAAAAAACAAACTTTTTAGAAAAGAACCAGGGACTAACTTTGAATGTAAAAATGGATTCATTAACCATTAGTAAGTATGGGAAATTTGTCGTTTACTCCAGGAAAATTCATTTTTTGGCCGAAACGAAGAGTTATTATCCCTTTAATGTTTTCATCCACTCAAGTAGAAAAATTTCAATCTACTACAACTGCCTTTATACTCCAGATGCAGTCCTGAATAAGTCACTGGGCCTGTTTAATGAAAAAATATAAAACAGCTGATATTGAATATTAGTCATTGAAAATATATTTATACATGAAAGTACACCAAAATTTCTGGTCTTCAAGAGTTAAAACCAACTTTTAACACAAAATTCTTTTGTGAAAGTGAACCCTACATGATGACTTCAGTGAGTTAGGCTATTTCTGTACAGGGTAAGGCCTAGGTTCCCAGCTCTATGCAGTAACATAGTTTACATATAACTAAGGGGCCATTCAGTATGAGTTAACTGACTGGACTACATAGTGTACAGTTACTCCACAGGGACTCTTGCTGAGTGCAAACAGGTGAACAGATCTAGACTAATGTGCCCACTCCTGGTAGAATACAGAGAAGCTGGTGTTTTTACAAGTACGCTGAGAACAAAAAACAAAAAGTTAGCCTGTTAATTTGATTGCATTCAGCAACAGTGTCAGTGGAGTTAGTGTGCACTAGTTAATGCTACCAAACTCAATCTGAATGGCTCCTAAAAATCTACTCCCTTTATGCTTTCAGGTGCCATTAAAGATCTGTCCATGAAGCCTGGAAAGGTGTTTTCCCTGAAGCCATATGCCACTAGTATACATGCATGATATATCTTAGACAACATAATATCATACAATCCTGCCTGGAGTTATACATTGTACCAGGAGGGAAATTATACTAGGTGCCTTAATTGCTTTAAATCCAGTGCTTTTTTCATAAACAACTCATATTTGTATGAGGGATATTATACTAGGTGCCTTAATTGCTTTAAAGCCAGTGCTTTTTTTCATAAACAACTCATATTTGTATGAGGGATATTATACTAGGTGCCTTAATCATTTTAAATCTAGTGCTTTTTTTCATAAACTCATATTTGTATGCATTCATTTTTAAAGTGATATTCCATATTTGTTACCACAGCTTTATAAATTTTAATATCATATTTGTGAAAACACAGTCAAATATAAATGAGTACTAAATAAAGAAGAGAGAAGACTTGGCCTAACATAATTTCTAATTAGAAAATACATCAATACTGCTACACAATTGTTACAGCTATGGAAATTTTTCGCAAATTTCAAAAACAACTTACTAGTATTCACATATTACATATATCAAGTTTTGTCATATTTTAGTTAATTACATAAACATATGCTCTGATATTAACCCAACTTAAGATGATCTTTCTCAGGTTTTCAGAAATACTAAAACATTGTATTGAGCTCCATAGTTGATACATTTTATTAAGAATATGTGATCTGTTAAAGATTTTATTAAGCTGGAGATTGGGAAAACAATATTTTACTGGGTTTCTACCTGGATATCACTTGGTCAATTCACCCATATTTAACTAAGTTTAATCTCTTTTGTGTAGCAATGTGTAGCAGCTCATGTTTAAAATTGTGTCAATACTGTTAACAGGTACAACTGAAATGACTGATGAAAAATTGAAAATAACAACAGTGCAGTGTGCCTTGCTTCTTGCTGGAAGAGCAGTAACTTGAAAATCTGGACATCATCATCATAACAGAGGTCACTGATGCTCAACTATTCTACCACAACATTTTATATTCAGATAAACTAAGAATGATGACTTCTTTTCTGTTTTTTTTTTCACAGCACTGACAAAATAAGTGTCACAATTGATCACCTAGATATGATCTGCAGTGTGGTCTTGCAGCTCATGTTTCAGCTTCGTGATGAGTCAACACCTGACAATGGTTCAGCATACAAAGGTTGCCATATCACAGGAACTATCTGCACTGTCCAACATGTTCCCAATGGACCTGTTCACACACTGGACTAACTTAGACCAGAACTTTGCTGAACCTCAGCAGTGGCCATCATCAGACCACAAGGTTGATTAATGACAGATTTCAAAGTCGTGGGCATTACAGATGTCCTAATTTCATATGACCACAGTCCTGTCAAATGATGCAGTTTGGCTGATCTAAGTTAGTAACAGGTGTGAACAAGCCCAGTGATTCAGGCCGGCTGAAGGTTGGTTATCTTTGCAGACACAGCAGAAATCAATGATGTTCTAAGAACAGTGAAAATGTTGCATTTCACCTGGGAGGACGATCAAATTCAATTAAGTAGTAAAATGAATGCAAGTCTGAGCAATGCAGAGGAAGAAAGTGGAAATGTTGTTTCAGGATCGGTACCTCCACGCACATTAACACATTACTGTTAGAGAATTATGCTTTTCCAGAGTTAAAATTGTGCTTTACTCGACCAATTTTTACTTTATTGCTGACGACTAGACAAAATGATTTACATCAAACACAATCACACATGTAGCTTTTGCGTTGTTTCTAATTCTATTTTAACTAACTGAAACAAACATAATTATCTAATACAACCAAAATATTCCAAGTGTCAAATAAACTGAGCAGAAATTCTTTTGCACTCCAATAATAAAAAGTAAACCAAACACTTAACAAATCTTAAATTGCTCACATAGTTTCGACTGAAAACATTATGTCAATATTTTGACAACTCAGTAACCAGTACATGACTTCTGAGGCCTATACTATGCCCCTAGCATCCATCAGATGCTGTTTTTAAACCTTCTATGCTATCTACCTATCTACGTACCATGATAAGACATTTGTTGTTGAAAAAACTCCCTGCCCACCTGCTGTCTGTGTTTACATCCACCACCTGAGTTTGATGGGGAGACGGATTACTGTGTTTGACTTACTGCATACCACTATTAGATAGGTACGGTATTTAAATACTTTAATAAACGTATTTGATGAGTTACATTTTCAAATACATTGTTTTGTTACAGATGCAATCATAAATTTTAAAGGAAAAATCAAAGTTCTGAAAAACAAAACATGCACTAATTGTCCACTGCTGTTCTGTGCTGTAATTATCCATTTATCTTGTCTCTTGAATATACCTCGTAGATATGCTCTCTCAGGATTTACTTCACGTTTTCAAGAACGTTTTACAATTCAGTCTAAAAATCATGGAAATTACCAACAGACTGAGTATACTACCCACTATACCCAACAAAATACTGAATATATCATGCGTACAACACGCACAAAACCAATTTCCATTTTTAATCTGTGTCAAAGATTAGAGCAAACAGCCTTACCGACATTTTCAATTAATGAGGCAATTATTAAAGGGTCTGGTTTTTTAATTATCAACAGATCTTTTCTAAAACTCTTTTTAATCTAAACAAATGATAAGCTTTTGGCAGTTTATCTACAGCACCACCTGGTGGCAGATACCTGCCCTAGAAGACGTCTGCTCAAATGACTCCCAATTAATGGAAAATCTAAAAGCCTAAAGCTCAGAATTGTATACAAGTTCATGTCAGGCTTGCACCAGGATAATATGCATGTAGCTGTTTAGTTCTGCGCCCTTTGAATCTTAACAGAACTAACAAAAAAAGTCAAGTGAACTTTTCATCTGCTGATCACCTGTCCATGTAATAACAGGTGCAGTATGTGTCTATCAACATGACCTGGAAAGTTTCTCAACTCACAATTATTTTAATTTTTTTATTACTGGTATACTTTTATAGTTCCCTCTACCTGAACATAAACTGGTGGGTATGTCATGATTTCTGTTCACAACAGTCAAGTTAACCCCCCCCCCCCACCCACACACACACACACACACAAAGGCCCGCCTCCATCCCAGGGTCAGCCCGTCTTCAATGTAAATGCAGCATAAATGCCTTACCTCAAAGAAGTTGATAGCCACAGGCTGTGCAAATATTTCAGCAATGGGCAGCACAGCACCAAGGATGATGACAAAGATGGAGTACAGCCCACTAAGGATGTTGAACAGGCTGGATCTGAAAGAATTGAATATTGGAGTTCAATATGTAATTAAGAATTATCATTTTTAATTGATCAGTAATATGTTCCGCAGAAGTGAGGAACAACTCAAGTCGCGTTTTGTTTGTGATTTAGCTGTAAAAAGTGTTTTTTAACATCATTATGTTGATGACAAATGTACAAATTTTTATTGTTTGTTTTGCTTGCATGCATGTCTCACTTCTTTCTTCCTCTTCCTCACACTCTCTCTCAAATCAATTCATCTCTGTAATCACCTAATAACTCAAGAAAGCATCTCTGACAGAAAGACAATTAAAAATGTGACAATACATAGCTGTTTTCTTTCATACAGTGACATGCAAACCACATCAAACTCGAAATGACACATTATTGCATTACAGATGATGGCACAGCCTTCGTGTTCATAACTTCAGCCATAATGAAAAAGAACTGTTTAATCAAGGACACCAGATGAGATTCTGAATACCTCTCACATCTGTAGCTGTTATCCCATGTGACAACCAGCATCCACTTTATTATACCACAGCACTTTTCCAACTCTCTCTGTGAAGTGTGAGTTGCTTTTTTTAATGAGCCCAACACACTTTCATAGTCGAAAGAAGTGACAGACTGTAAATACTTTACAAAGTGCTGATTGTTTTGTACCAGCTCCCCTATCTGGATTAGGCTTAAGACAAATGACAAGAGACATCACCTACCATTACACACACTTATAAATCACCTAGGGAAAATAATAGTACGACTTTGTCCTGCCAGCGGCAATATGGCCCTCATGAAGATGAAAGGCATGCATTATGACAGTGACATAAAGGATTCAATTATGTATTGGTAACATAACATGACTCACTCAACTCTGTAGTAATTATTTTTCTGATGATTTTATGAAAAACGCAATTATTCTAATTTTAAATCATATTCAAAGAACTTTTTGTTTTGTTCAGATCATTAAGTATCATTAACATGTAAAAGAAAAGTAATAAACCCTGGCTTTAAGTAATTGAATAAGTATAAAAAGGATGCTTTAAAAGCACATCTGGGCTTTATGAAAGTCTGCCAACATGAAAAAAAGAGTAGCATTTTTATTCAAACAAAAACATTATTACTACATATGTGATAATTAAACCCTATACATGTCTGTAATAATATTCATGAAGCCCTAGTTTAAAATATTCAAATTCTCAAAAAGTGCAAGATCCATTATATTTTTAAGCAGTACACTGAAAATGTGTGGCCTGGCAGTTCTACCACAAACTTAAAGGTTCTGCCAGCCCAATAAATAAGGAACGGCCAATTGCTTCAAGTGTCCCAAACATTGAAGTGAACATCAAGTGGTTAATTTACAGCAAAACAATTATGAATGGGGTATTTCCTATTTTGAGTAAACTACCACAACAGGGGGCAGCAGTTGATCACCAGTGTCAGGGTGAGCCTTAATTACAATCAGTCTCCCCCCTCACAGGTAACTGACAGGTAGCTTAACTGTCTATCACACCTGTGCAGTATAGCCATGTATTAAGTGCCATATGTAGTAGTCTACATGTGTTTGTGTATCTTGAAGGAATCCTACCATTAGTACCAGTTGTAGGAATCTCTTCATATACTTGAACTTGGAATCAGATCTGAAACTAATTCTCAATTGTAGAAAAGTAACAATAATTAAAAAAAAACCCATGGCTACATCTAAAATGTGAGAGAAAAAGAACTACATACTAACTTACTAAGCACTACTCTAGCATTCCTTATGCTCTATCCTGATCCACCCACAAAAAGTTGACCAGCAACTAAAGGTTATATTTTCCAATAGCCATTAGTGACATATCAATCAACAGGTACCCCATGCTCTTGCTGGGAAGATGGGGGCCATTGCATAATACCCTGCTTTCCAGCCATTTCACCTGGAATTCCTTGTTATTAGTTAATTGACTGCTACCATAAACTACATGTAAATGCCAGGTGAGTTAGGAGGGGCTCCTTTGGGAATGGGGTTAGGAGTAGGGAAAAGCTACTTGTCTAGTACCTAAATGATATTATTTGCAGTTTTTACTTCTGAACTAGAAACATTCTGTAGAACAACCATATTTATAAGATAAAGGTCTAACCTGCCAAGATAAAAGGAGGCTAAGTATGTTCTTTCAGTTAAAATGGAATTTTGACACAAAATATTAAGTGTAGAAAAAAGAAGAGGTGGTAACCCAGCAAGTGTACACATGCACCTCATTGGGAAAAAAATTCTAACAAGAACTACAGGTAGGAGGATCAAGGAGACATGCATCTACTCGTATGTTTTCCATGAGAATATAAGCTTTCTGCATAAACAAACTGCTTTTGCACACTGTCAGTACCCAATCTATCCCAGTAATTATGACCAAAACCTATAAACCTACGGCATTAGCACTGGCAGATTTCTAAGCGATGTGGCTCCTTTCGGCCAAACTACATCTTCTTCCACCACCTGAAACTGCCCCATGACAACACCAATGTCTCAAAACCAATTTGTGGTGCAATTTCTCACAGAAAAGAATAAAAAAATCCCCTATCTGCATTGATCTATTTTGAGTCCTTCCCTATGGGCAAGGGTAACTAAGTCTGTAACCTTACAGAGGTGTCTGATAAGATGCTGGGTTGGCTGCATCCAAATCATAAGGAGAGTTATTGAATTGTACGTACATTGTTGCCAACTCGATCTGCTTTTTCACTTGAGATCTTTTTCATTTCATTACTTGTACTCTCTCTCTTTGTTTTCAATTACTGACTACCATTTTATTGTAAAGAATATGAAAACAATCGATCTCTTCAATTTAAGTTCTGTGACATAGCACTGCAGCTAGCTTGTAACTGTTTTCATTTATCTTCTCCTTAGTAAGTTGATAAGGCCCATAAATAGTCTAGAAATGGGATTACTCCAGTAATTAATCTTAAGTAGCTATTACATATACTGTTTTAATCTAATTTCTTTGCTAATGCTGTTCAATCATATAATAAGTGTTAGGGTAAAAATAGATATAATAGATGCTATACAAGCCTGTGGAAAGATAGAAAAAGAGCAAACCAACACCTGGTTTGGAGTGGGGGGGGGGGGGGGGGATAAATTTGGTTCAACCTTATTGGCAAAGAAAGACTTAAAAATGACAATAGCTATATATGCATACTAAATATCATTTTTTAACATTTTTACCTTTCTAAATTTCCCATCAAGAAACGAACCACTGATTCTGAAAAACTGCCAAAAAGTCTTATAACATGAACATAACTCTTTGAACACTCGGCAGATATGCCTTAACCTTTCTAGCCAGAAACAAACTAAGAAATAAAAGTCGAGCGTTTTATCACTGCCCCAGTGGCATTTGAACAGCGCCAACATGTATCTCAAGTAACCTGAAAGCCAAATAAGTCAAGATTAGATAAGAACAGTAAGGATGGAAATTCGTATTGCTGTACAGATTTTTTGATGTATCTTTTGCTCCTAGATCTACTGCCAAAATTATTTTTCCATTAAAGTGAGGAATTCTCCCTGTCCCCTCCCCCCCCCCACCCCCTGAGATTATCTGCCTTCTTCTTACAAAATGAAGGCACCAGCTTAAGAAGAAATAAAAAGCAAACTAAGATAAGTCAATCTTTGATAAAAAAAAAAAAAATCATTTGTAACTGATTAAAAAATACATTGTCAACAAGTGCATACGTGATAGAAGCCCTTTGAGGAAGGGTTCGAAACATCATAGGGGCATGCCACATAAGTAGAAAAAGTATTTTTAGTCTCTTAAGATGCAATATACTTTTTAAAACTTATTTATCATTACACACAAAAAAAGAAAAACCAATTTCATAGTAATCTTTAACTGTTGAAAAAGTATGTATAAAATTTGACTTCATTTTCAAATATTTTTGAAACAGTATTGAATTTAATCCTGTGTCATGAAAAATACTTTGAAGTGAAATTTTCTAATGACAAATTTCTGAAAGTCACTTCTGAGATACTATGTTTTTGATAAATGGAAGAAACTATCTTCAAAGATAATTTTAAAACACAAGACGCATTCCTCTATGGGCCACAAGCAATGTTTCAATCAAGAAAATTAAAGTGGCATTTGGAGAAGCAAACAATGTTTCTGCCAAGAAAATTACAGTGGCATTTAAAAGAAAACAAAACAAAGAAAAACATACACAAATTGCATGAGAAACATGCAACCATCATAATAAATGCCCTGTAGAAATGCTCATTTTCTTTCCACTGTCATGCAATGATGATGTGTTACCACGATAAACCAAAATAACTGCAATGATCAATCAATATCATAAGAACTAAACAGGGCAGAAAAAAAAAATCAAATCAAAATCGAGAGTGAAAAGCCTAGCTGGAATGATGTCGATGTTGGTTCACTTCAATTTGTGTTATAACGTGCAGAGAGCTAATTTGCCGTTGCTCAATCTCACCATGTGACATACCAGTAGACTTTGAGTGTCTTCACGGCAGACTTCAAAAGACCAAATCTCATTGGATCCAATTGCTGATAGAACAATCAAACAAATATCCACACTGAACTAAGTGCCAGCAATGATTGGATTTTAGGAGAAAAACAAGTACAAAAACTGAAACATTTTGATTGGACTTGTGCTGTGCAGATGTTGGCTTGATTTCAATAGGTACTGCTGTCTGTTGCTGATCTTCACCCGAGAATTTTTGATCAGCATTTTACATCAGTTGGTTAAATTGCACTTACCAGGTATATAATTCTCATAGTTAGGTAGTTATCAAAAGGATTAAGTGAGAGGAAGAACTGAGAGATTCAATATTATGACCTTCTCCATGACACAAAAATTTAATGGTCATCGAGATTTAACTTCATGGACCCTTGTAAGTCTAAGCGTGCATTCACAGTGAATGCTATTGAAGAAGGTAGTTTGAACTAACTCTGCAGGGACCCTCGCTGAATGCAATCAGATTAACAAGCCTCCTCCTGGCATTGAGTAGAATACAGAAAAGCTGGTGACTATATGAGTACATTGGAAACAAGAAGAGATGTGTTAATCTGATAATCTGATTGCATTCAGCAAGAATCCCCACTGAGTTGGTTCAAACTACCTAGTATGATAGTTTCAATGTGAACACACTCTAAATCACACTGTCGTTAAGCAATACTAGATGACCTCCAAAACTCATAATGGAATATTATACAGTAGCAATCAATGCCGCATCATTTCATTCTACATTTCCTTATTTACAACAGCTTACTCCATCAAATACACGCCAAAGATTGAACTGTAATCCAACCGTATAAAGGCAGTGTGGGTTTCAATTTGCAATGGATTAATCAATCAGAAATTGCTGTTAATCCCTAATGGTCTAGCTCTTTTTACACATATTCAAGATGATGGGGTTTCTGCCCACATGCCAGAGACGGCAGAAAACATCTCACCGACTTTTATCATTCAGTTGCATGTTTACACATTTCAAAAACAGGCCCTTACATGTATAATAAATAGGTGGGAAGAAGAATCAGTGATGTTGGTACAGTTTCCATAGGGAGGGCCTCTCGGGCTATTTGAAAAGTCCTGAGTGAAAATGTTTGGCTGACCCTGGGGACAATGTGTGTGTACATAAGGCAAATTGCATTTAATTGTCATTGGCCATTCTTCCAAGGTGGAACAGTAAAAGCATTAGATCGCAAGTAAAATAGGATCCCTGCCACAAAAAATCAATGTAAAAACTTCAAGCACTCTGAAGCTTCTCAAATGTGAAAGAAAAATGTGCCCTTCACTTGCACGAGCTTCCTTCATTTTCTTCAGTCAAAAAGTTCATTATGAACTATGGAGTTGCTAAACAAACTGATTTCTTTTAAAGGATATATTTCAACGCATTGAACAAATGAACTACGAAAAGTGAAAACAAAAACTGAAAACAGTTAAAACCAATTAAAATGACACAGAGTGATCCATGACTAAGTCTTGATGTGAAAGTAAAAATCCAATACGAAGTCACAAGGTGGTTACATGTGATCTTTGTTAAGTAATCTGTATTATAGTAAAATTCCATTTCTATGTTGACACACTCTTGTGAACAACTGCTCTACTGTTTAGACACAGCATTAAGGTATTGGAAAAAGAACGCAGTTCTGGAAGCCAGATCTATAATCTAAATCGCACCAACACATACCCTGATACAGTATTGTAACAAGTGACTTCATGTGCCAGTCTGTATACAAATTGAACCTGACTGACTGACAGATAAAAAATAATTAATTCTTATTCACAAGATTAAATATTTAAATCCCTGAAAGTTTGCACTTTACTTCAGATATTCTGCAGAAAAAATAGTTTTTGACCTCAAAAAAAGCCAGCAGAAGTGAAAATCAGATTAAAACTTTATTTCTCGATTTCCCTTTATAATGCATACTTATCACATATTCCTTTCCTGTGCTTAATGTGATTTTAATCCTATCAAGCACTCTTATGTCATTTATGTAACATCACACCATCAGGACAGGAAGACAGAATAATTTTCAGACAGACAGTCCTTTTTTTGCAGTCAGGATCTGCATGTAATCAAATCAAAATGCAATACAACTCAAATTACATTCCCATTATTTTCCTCAAAGATTATCATGAAACTTTAAAGGACCACGTAGTGTTTTCAAGTACACTTCTATGTACAAGTAGCATTTCCAATCAAGTTGCACATGCCTATCTCTGAGCAAACCTACTCAGCAAGATGTACGATTTTGATGAGTGCACCAAAGGCAACACATCTAATTTCACCGTTGGTCCTGTTCTACTACATGTACAATGGCTGTAACAGCGTATTCAGGACAGTGAAGTAACATATCCGCGGATCAAATATGGCCAACCCACATAAATGCTTGTTGCGTAATCCCCACAGGAAATCTATTCAGTGTCTACTTGGGAATTAAGCAGCATGCTTTTTAGTTGGTCGCTATATTTGATCCATGGATCTGTTAGGACACTGTTCTGAATGCGCTACAACAAATTTAAATTGGGCAGAATTACTTTTTAGGGTGAGCTTATCATTATCAGTTGACCTGATAAAAAAAGATGGGAGGTACAGAATTACCTCAGTCTATTTTGCCAAGAAGCACAAGATAATCCCCACTGAAAGGATACTTAATTTATCAAATTTATCTGTTCTTTTATGTCTTACTAGATAAACAAATTACATCACCATGAATATAAAACTAGGTAAAGGACAAAGTGTCACAGAGATCCTGCTCTGCATGTGCCATTTAAGACTGTGTTTAGAACAGAAGTTATCATACAAGCAGGATCGATCTATCTCAGTGGGATTCTTGCCATGGTGCAGTCAATGTAAACTGTGATCATCTTAATTGTCCAGGATGCCCCCTGGCAAAGCAAAATCAACAACATCATGGACCACTAAGTTTTTCCGACTTTACCCAAGTACTATGAATTACGAGGAACGTACCAGACAATTAGGCTTTCATTGACCATGCAAGAATTCCTTCTGAGATAGATAAATCCTGCTACAACAGTAACTTCTATTATGAACAGTCCCCCTTAAATAAAATCTTATCTGGAGAGGTGTTTTAGAATAAAAAAGTTCTCAAACCAGTTCAAACGAAATGGCATCCATCATTCATGGAGTCTTTGATTAAGATGAGCCCTAAAATCAACTCCCTTGAACACATATTGGCATGGATTGGGAGTTTGAATTTGCTGTGCAAAGATCATACATCTCATTTCTTCAGAATAACATCTGAGCAAATATGTGCTCTATAGGCCGTTTTCAATTATTTGCCAGGCGATATTTCATGAGAGCTTTGATCAGAGGAAATTCCTAGATGCACACCCAGAGAAGAATTGCAGAAAGTTGATCAAAGAGAACAATTACCAGGCCCCTTGAAGATATAGCTGGCAAAAAATGCTTTGTCACCTGAAAAAAGGACACGATTGAACTTGTTTCTTAGGTGAAATGCTATGCAGAATGTTATGATGTTTGTTTCAGATCAAGAAAATGACCTTCATGACTAAGGCTTTGGCATTGCAATCTAAGTATAAGATAATTCAGACATGATTTTGGGTTATAAAAAAGTAAACCACCACGGAAAAAAAGAAAAATTTCCCACTTAAATCAGAACAAAAACATGTCAGATAATTGTACAGTTTTCCAATACCACAAGAGAAACATCCAACCTTTGGAGATCTTTTCAAAACACACACACACACACACACAAACACACACACACTTCCCACTTGTGTTAATGCCCATTCATGTCTGCTGTTTTTAAAAAATCTTACCTGAAAGCTTCTTGCATGTTGCGTAGTGCCTGAACATCACCATTGCACAGTCCTGCTCTGTACTCCAGGGAGCCCATGNGGGGGGGGGGTTGTGTGGTATATACTGC